GAAAGTTATTACTAGATAAAGAAAGTACTCCTGCATCTAGTAATACATCGACTGCCGATGATCTGTCTGCAGTTGAAAAGAATACTGTAAAAGAAGAAAGAAGAGATGGAAATCAATCATTGAAGCTAGAAACTTGCAATCAAGACTGTACTGATAGGGAATTCGTGGTTTCTCAACTTGTCTCGCAAACTAATGAACTAAACTATAGTTCCAGGGAATCACCAAGCCTTAAAAATGACGCCCGTTTTCGATTTACCTCTGTCATAACAACTTCCAGTTGTTCAGAAAGATTGAATGTTCTGAAGTTGATGAATACACAAATCAAGAATGAAACGGGAAGTTTGCCTTGTATGGTACAGACAAGTCCCGCCTTTATGTTGGAGATCAGGCGGTTGTATTAAACTAGAATCTGAAAATAAAGGGCCGACACATGAGGAGCTGGATAGAACTGATAAGGTTTCTATAAGAGAAGTGGCTGATACGTGCCCCTTAGAGGATCCAGTAGTCTTGGATGGTAAACTTCCGGTTCTAGTTAGTTCAGACAGTAGTGGTAAGATACATTCACGCGGGTTCAATAATTTCCTTAGTTCTTTACCGGCAAAGCGGGATGATGTAAATGTAGTTAGTAGAGATGACGACGAAAATTCTTCAGGTTGTACTTACCCTGGCCCCATAAAAAAAGTCATTTAGGCCAACTCCACATATCGGAGACCAAAGAATAAAGAAAACACTGGCTTCTAAATACTCAAAATTAGATCTGAGAGTGAAGGAGGAGACTTTATCCAATTCTGGTATGTTGCTTCTTGAAGTTAAAATCGTCCCAACTTTGAGTAAATTGTTTGGTACCATTGAATGGGATATTGAATTCGAAATCTGCTTGCTGCGATAGCAGTGCTTACAAGCGATTAAGATCTGAACGGAACTACCCTTTCAAAAAACGCAAGTTCTTACACTATAGCTCAATATCAAATTCAGATGGAGGAATCAGCAGTGAGGGAATTTCAGATTCACCTGAGAAGAGCATCAATGGAAATGTTTCAGGTGTATATCCAAAGACGCGTGGAGGTGATTTCCGTACTTATTTTCCATTACATTATTTTCTTGGTCCTTGAAGCAAACAGCAGTAACTTTTCTAACCGATTCTAAATCTTTATCAGTCACTGGAGAATCACCTTCATTACCAGACCAACGAAAATCATTCCACTCTATGGATTCTCACGGTATGAGACCCTTTGCTGGTGTGATTCATATGTACTCTTTTTCACTTATTTGGTGCTTAACATTCAAAGAGGTTCTTACATCAAACTATCTTTCCTTTTACTCAGTGAAGTTTAGGATCAAATCTTTCAGGGTGCCAGAATTGTTTGTTGAAATTCCAGAATCTGCAACTGTTGGTTCATTGAAGGTAATGATTACTGACCACCCATGTCATTGTGGTAAAACTGTTTGGTCATTTTGTGCTGGCCGATGGAGCTATCTTTGGATTTCTTTTACTGCACGTCGCTACATTTCGACCTTGAAGAATTAGTTGCGAAGGTTTATTTGTCCTTCCAGGCACAACATCTTGCTTCAAAGTAAGATGGATACTTCGATAGTGTCTGTCGTAAATTGTTATTATAGTGACTGGTCTAATTGTTGCTTGTTCATTGGACTTCTTTCTAATGATAATGACATGAAACTGTTTTAATGTAGAGGACTGTAATGGAGGCAGTGACAGCTGAACTTGGAGGTGGATTGCGCATTGGTGTACTTTTTCAAAGAAAGAAGGTTAGAGATGACAATAAAACTCTTCTGCAGACGGGGATATCTTGTGATAACCAGATAGACGCACTGGGTTTTAGTCTGGAGCCCAACACTTCGCAAACTTTCCATCGCTATGTACTGGAGGTTCTCCAATAATTCTTCCATGTGACACACCTCTACCTCTTGCTAGGTAACAAAATAGTTTCACAAGCCTAGCAGATATCTATACATGGATAATGGTTTAAAATCTGGTCTCATTTTGTTGTTTCTATTTCTAAACAAAAAGAAGAAGAATAATTTCTTATTAGAGGCTGAGTTTTTGTCTGGTAACAGCGTTTTTTTTCTTTCTCAAGTCTGCATGGATACATGCATGAAGTTTGTTGTTAGTCATTGAACATTGTTGCATGATAGTGTCCCTTGGTCCATCATGTTAAATACCAATGATACTTTGTGACTCTGCAGATTCAATTTATGATGTAATACTGTTTGTTGCCAGGTATCCAGCAACTCTTGGTTTAGTTAATTGTGTTACTCATGATCCCTCGCCCGACCATCATATGCCTAATTTGGGCAAATTTGTTGAAAGCGATCATGATTCTGCACCCTTACCTACTGACATGTCATTTGACAAAATAACAACTGATTCTAAAGCCGTTGTAGTTGTACCAGCGATGAGTGTGGGGGCACTAGATGTGGTTCCAGATCATAGGAAATCAAAACAATCTGAAGTTGTGCAACGTAGAATTCGTCAACCTTTCTCTGTTGCTGAAGTTGAAGCTCTGGTCCAGGCTGTCGATAAACTTGGAACCAGAAGGTATGCTTTGAACCTACTGAAGAAACTATGAGGATCTTTTCAGATGCTTAGAACTGTTAGCATAATTACATGGTTATCATACCAGATATCCCCCTTATGCTGGGAAGGACTTCAGCCTGTGGTCTGTTCCCCCTTGTTCGCTGACCTTTACCTTTCCTCAGCATGGTCTTGTTTCTAATGGCTCTATTATTCTGCAGGTGGTGCGATGTTAAATTAAGAGCTTTTGATAATGCGAAGCATCGGACTTACGTGGATTTGAAGGTAAGTAAAAACTCTGCACCTGCTGATATATCCACATCTGTCTTTAATACATTTGCTCGGGACCTTTCCGCTGCTTTTGGTATTTTGTGAAAGCATTATCACATGTGGTGGTGGTCTTTATTCTGGAATTGTGCAGGATAAGTGGAAAACACTCGTTCATACAGCAAGGATATTGCCGCAGCAAAGGCGGGAAGAGCCGGTGCCCCAGGAGCTCCTGGACAGGGTGTTAACAGCACACGCCTACTGGTCCCAGCAGCAAGCCAAGCAGCAACTGAAGCTGCAGTACCATCAGCCAGAGAGCTGCCTTCTCCTTTATAACTCAACAATGAGAACTAGTAGCAGATGTGATGGTGATGAAAAAAACTTGGGTTGATGGTGGGTTTTCAGGGAAGGATTGTCTAAGATTATTATTTATCATGTTCTTGTAATTTTATTGTGATTATTTGGAAGACAAAAAAAAAGAAAAGAAAAATATGACAAGCAAGAAATATGTAATATTTAATCTGCTCTAGCACTGATTCTTCTCCTACAGTGGATACAGAGGCATGACCCTTTTGTAAAATGCTATTGGTGGAAATAAGAGCTTGCTAAATTACATTGCTTAACATGAAAACATTAGGACCTTCATGATTCAATTTTGTTTTGGTACAATTAAGGTATCTTTATTTTTCTTATATTGATTATCGGTTGAAACAAAGGGTTTAATTATACAATAGTACACATGAAATTTAATTCAATTTTTATAAATTGTTATCACATTTATCATTGTAACATTATTTTTCATTACGTTTTACAAATACAAATAACTATATTAATCTAGTATAAAAAAAAGAAATGCATTTGTTTTCTAATATATATAATTGAATCAGAATAAAAGTTTCATGCGTATATTTAAACAACAATAAAAATTTCATATGTATAGTTATATCAAGTCAAAAGTTTATGTATAAGTTTGATAATTATCTAATAATTAAGAAGAAATCTGTAGTTTGACCTAATGAATACTGAGGAGTATGAATTTATTTCTCTATTTAGGTTGGTTGTTCGAATCATTATATTTGGATTTAATTAGATCTAAGAGGGATTTGAAAAAGCAACCCTGTAATGGTGTGGATAAAGTATAAACATTATTAAAATATTTTATATTAGTTAAACTTATACTTTATTTTAATTGCCCCTCGAGACTATAGAGAGCAGTAGAATAGAACTAGAATTTAACCAATAATAAATTAGATAACGAAAGTCGATCAATAAATTAAATATAAATGGAAAAAAAATATTAACAAGAGACTGAAAAGACCATGCATGCTTACAAAATGGTTTCAATTACATTATTTATCTATCATTATTATTGTGATAATCAGTTTTAATACTTTCAATTTACGGTAGTTTTTACAAACAAATTAAATTAAGAAGATATTTTAAAGTGGATAGCATATTAAAATATATCTGCAATCAAATAAAGTATGTAGGAAGACACTAATCTAGTTTGACCTCTCTTTTGCCTACTTTATCATTTTTAATTTGAAGCATAATGTATAAAATACAATATTTCTTTTCCTTTTTTCTGGAAACAAACAAAACGCTCATTTTAAAATTATTTTTGTTTCCTCTGTTATTTTCACATGTTGGAGATTCTTGTTTCTCAAGTTTGATAAAATAGAGTGAAAGATTTGACGTTCTGGAAACGAAGGAAAAGCCTTGCTTTCCAAGCAAATCATTATAGTGAAATACCTGTGATGGAATACATACATACATGAGCTAATAGAAAGGTGAACGCGTGTGGTTATGGCCCCATCGCAGGTTGACATGTAAAGTTGCTATATGTTGACCATTCAATCAAATGATATATGCATCCAAAAAGAATTTGTATAGCTAAACCGCCACAGTTTTCAGTCAACTTCTACAGAAAAATCCAAAGGCCTTTTTCTTCGCTATGAATACTGAATAAATTTTATTAAACAAAATAATTAATATCTCGTAAAGCAAATAGTTGCAGCAATTATCCGAAAGTTGAACACATTCCATGAACCCAGAAAAGATGGATACAGTTGAGATAACATGTTGATAACAGGGTCCCCATTGTCTCCTCGGTATATGTTTCTCACTTTCTCCAATCTCTTCCGGGAAAGTTCCTCCCTTTTTTTTTCCTTTGGCCTCACGGGTCAAACCTCTCTTCTTCTATTTATTATTCAACACCACCTCTTCATCTTTATCCCCACGCCTTTTCCCTTCCTCTTATTCCTCTCAGGCTGTCTCCGTCTCTCTCTTTAAGGTACGTTAACTGTTGTTTCTCCTTGCTTCTTCTCCACTTTTGTTGATTTGGGTCTTTCTCTTCCTGTACTTGCTTCCCTTTTGTACGATTCATTTGTTTTTCTGTATGATTTGTTGTGGTCATATTTGTTTAAATCTCAGCAAGCTTGAATCTTTAAAGGGTATAGTCTAAAGATATCCTTTAAGCTTTCTCCTTTGATTTTATCAAATTGCAAGCCTTTTTTGGCTCTGTAGTATATGTTGGATTCCGTTGGCTTTTTAAGTGTTTGATTTTCTTTTTTTCCTTTCGGGTTGTAGAAATTTGGGATTTTTAGATGGCCATGAATCCGAATTCCACTGAAACCTTTGATTACATCAACGGTTTCAAAGTTGAAGACTATGCATTCCACAATGGATTTCAATTTGATATCCCATCTCCAGATCTTAACTTTATGAACATGTATGTTCCTCCTACTATTCCTCCTGAACCCGACCCTGGTATCTTTGTTCCATCCATTACAAGTTCAGATGGTAGCACTTTTTCAGCTTCCTCGAGCTGGAGTCCAGTTGGGGAGTCTTACTCACCTCCTAATGACAGTGACTCAACCGATCCAGTTCTCAAATACATAAGCCAGATACTTATGGAAGAAAACATGGAAGACAAGCCTCATATGTTTAATGACTATTTGGCTCTCGAAGACACCGAGAAATCCTTATATGAAGTCATCGGTGAGCAATATCATTCGAATACTCTAATGGAGAGTCCTAATAGTAACCTTTATGGTAGTAATGGTCATTTGTATACTGGTGTTGGCACCGGCAGTGAGTCTAGTTATTATGTCGATCATCGTGGTGTTGGTGAAGTTGGAGAACCTGGTTCACATTTTTCTGTAAACTCAACTACTAGCTTGAGTAACATTGGTAATGGGATGATGGAATCTTCGGTTAGCGAGCTTCTTCTTAAGAATATCTTTAGTGATAAGGAATCTATGTTGCAGTTCCAGAGAGGGTTTGAGGAAGCCAGTAAGTTCATCCCTAGTAATGAACAACTAGTTATTGACCTAGAGAGCAACACATTTCCCATTGGGAAAAGGGGGAATGTACAGAAAGTTGTAGTCAAGGTGGAGAAGGATGAGAGGGAGAGTTCTTCTGATGAGTTGGCGGGTAGGAAGAATCATGATCGGGACGATTGGGAATTGGAAGACGAGAGGAGCACCAAGCAATCAGCAACTTATATAGAAGAGAGTGATTTGTCTGAAGTATTTGATAAGGTGTTACTTTGTACTGAAGGAAACGCTATGTGTGATACCAATGGAACTGTGAAGCACGGAGAAACCAATTCGTTGCAGCAGAAAGATCAGTTGAATGGATCTAGTGTTGGAAAAATTCGTTCTAAGAAAACGGGGAATAAGAAAGAATCGGTGGATTTGAGGACTCTTCTGATTCTTTGTGCACAGGCTGTTTCTGCTGATGATCGTAGGACAACAGGTGAACTGCTAAAGCAGATTAAAGAGCACTCTTCTCCTCATGGTGATGGAACTCAGAGGTTGGCCTATTTTTTTGCAGATGGCCTTGAGGCACGGTTGGATGGGAGTGGAGCTCTAGTTCACAATTGTTTTGCTTCTCTAGCTTCCAAGAAGACAACAGCTGCTGATATCTTGAAAGCTTATAAAGCTTACCTTTGCGCTTGTCCGTTTACGAAGCTAGCAATTGTCTTTGCAAACAAAACGATTTACCGTGTGTCTCAGAAAGCAAGTGTCCTTCATATTATAGATTTTGGTATTCTGTATGGTTTCCAATGGCCCATTCTCATCCAGCATCTCTCAAAGAGACCTGGTGGGCCTCCTAAGCTACGCATAACCGGAATAGAGATTCCCCAACGTGGTTTCCGCCCAGCAGAAAGAATTGAAGAGACAGGTCGTCGCTTGGCAAAGTATTGTGAGCGTTTTGGAGTTCCATTTGAGTACAATCCGATAGCAGTTGAAAACTGGGAAGCCATCCGGATTGAGGACATGAAAATCAATCGCAATGAGTTGCTTGCCGTGAATTCTCATTTCCGGTTTCAGAATCTACTTGATGAGACTGCCGAGGTGGACTGTCCAAGGGATGCCGTGTTAAAATTGATCAGGAAAATGAACCCAGATATTTTTGTTCACAACATAGTAAATGGAGCTTACAATGCTCCCTTCTTTGTTACTAGGTTCAAGGAGGCTCTATTCCATATGTCTGCAATATTTGATGTATTCGAAAACACGTTACCGCGTGAGGATCCAGGTAGGTTGATGTTTGAGAGGGAGTTTTATGGGCGGGAAGCAATGAACGTTATAGCATGTGAGGGCTCGGCAAGGGTTCAGAGGCCAGAAACATACAAGCAATGGCAGATTCGTACGATCAGAGCAGGATTCAAGCCGCTTCCGTTGGAGCAAGAACTGATGAAGTTAGTCAGGGATAAGCTGGAGGCTTGCTACCACAAAGATTTCGTAATCGATGAAGACAACAACTGGATGTTGCAGGGATGGAAGGGCAGGCTTCTTTATGGTTCTTCGTGTTGGGTACCTGCATAGGAGCATGGACCGGAATATCGGCTACAACTGAGATCGTGACCAAGACATTCCTTTGGAAAGGATAGTTTCAAACTATGGGGGAAGCTAACACCATTTCACACACATAATTTGTTTTCCCTGTTAGTGGGGTGATCCGTCGTCCATGGGGGACATCTCAGCTTTTTGTAGTGTACTGCATTAGTTCAAAATATTAATCCATGAAAGTGAAATTTTGTAGAAAACCTTTTTCTTGCTACTTCATGTTCATCGACTGTTGCATGGTTTTTTGGTCTCCATTTTGCCGTGATTGGGAAACAAAAGCGTTGTTTTCTGCTTCATTTCAGCCTGTTGCAGGTCAAAACAGTACACAATGAATCCGTTAGTTGATGATTCAATGGGAGGTGAACATATTATACCAGAACTTGTTGCCATATACGATTAACAAAATGTTATCAAAATTACTATATTATATTAAATGTTAGTATAATCATTTCAAATATTAACAAAATAACTATTGTTGCAAAGGATAACAAAATACTTAAAAAAATTATCAAAATAATAAAAATTAGGAATTCAAATAGCTGTCGTTATATCGCGGTTACGGCGGTGTTCAAAATCACTATCGCGAAAAATAGCTGTGCGAAGTGGGATCACACCAATAGCGGTGGATTGTAGCTGCAATTTAGTAGATAGCGGCCAATACAATCGCGGCAATAGCAGACCGTTATTTCACTATTATTTCGTTATTTAATGTTTAAAATATATTTTTTTATTTTTAAAAAATCAACTCTTTTAAAAAAAAATTACGACCGGGATATCCGCAATGACTACAATAACATCTATTATATCCACAATCACAATAAACACAACGTGACCAGAAACACAGTCGCAATCGCAATTTAAATCTCCTATTAAAATAACAAAAAAATATTGTCAAAACAATAGAAAATGTAAAGGAAGAATTATTTGTAAGTTCATAACAAAATAAAAGGAAACGTCTAGTAGACAGCCTAGTTATTATATTAATGTTTAAAAGCAAAATATAAGAAGATTGTAAAAGTAATGGAATATTACAATAATAAAGAAAAGTTGCAGTTGAGGTGGGATGGGATGAATCTGGGCTACATTCGGATAATATTATTTTATTTGAATATTAAAATGGGATTTGACACCAACAAAACCCGTCAAATGCTTGGACTGTATGACCTCTTCATTTTCTTTGCTCGGAGGCTATAAACAACAAATTTAATTTCTTTCAGTCTGTCCAAATGCATTATTATGGTGTTTTCTTAAAATAATTGGGGAATTTTCAAACTTCAATAACAGTGAATCAGATTCACTGTTGAATCAAACAAACCAGGTCTACTGAATTGACCCCGAATCCAATTTTCTTTTCCTTTTTGAACCTATGCTTTCAGAAATCATCATCTTTTCAATTGTTTTCAAATTGATACGTACTGTCAACATTTTTTACAGTAAACGATAAAAGTTTTTTTACATCTTTCATTTTTCTTATGTTATATATTTACAAATTCTCCTTTAAGTTACATATGGCCAAATAAAGTCATAGATAGACTCATTGTCTATATTTTTATCTATCGTTATGGTAAACAATGTACATTCATAATGACGAATTTTTGCTCTTAATGGATTCATATATTGAGTTTTGAGTGATCACGGTAAGAATGTCTTAATCAATTTACTGACGTGAAAGGATCTATATTTTGCTCGTAATAAGTACATATCTCTTAGGTTTGGTGGTTTTAATGAGACAAACTTAATGAATTCATAGTTAAGAAAATTTAAATTTTATACTCTTATTGAGTTCATATCCCATAATTTAAATAGTTCTATCCATAATTACTTAATCAATTTACCAACGAGAGTTGATCTTTTAACTCATAATTATTTAAAATTTAGACCGACTTTTAATTTAAATTAGTTAAGATTCAATTTTTTTAAAAAAATTGAGGCTCAATTTCATACAATTTGAGATTGAGATTACTCCAGGTTTAGACCATTTAAAATTAATGTTAAAAGCATTCCAAAAATGGGACTAGTTTGGATTATTGTTTATTCTAATTTATCTCAGTGGATAAAAGAATCGTTGTTGTTCTTAGAGATTATGGGTTCAAGTACCAACAACTACAAGGGTGATTGAGTATTCATTATCAAATAATTAAAAATACTTATAATCACTTTTAGATTAATAAAAAAATGTGAAAGTTTTTTTAGTTAATATCTGAATCGAGATATCTAACTTCTATTTGCAACAAGAATCTAGGCGATTTTCTCCAAAAATCACCTGTGATTGGTATATTTACCGATCTAACACCGGTAGCAGTAAAGCGCGCCCCCTGAACCGCGCTATACGCTGATCTGGCGCCACGTGGGTATAGCGCGCCTCCTGATCCGCGCTATACGCCACGTAGGGGTATAGCGCGGATCAGGGGCCGCACTATACGCCGTACCAAAATTATATTTAACGCTGTCCCTGATCTGCGCTATATAATAATTACATATAACGCGGTGCAGATACCGCGCCTTATATGTTTATAAATACCTCGCATCTCTCCTCACATCTCTCATCTCTTATAAATTAATACAACAATTCCGTCAACGAGTAATAATTCTGACAATCTTCTTATATTTGATTTAGAAGTTCGTGCGATTTTTCGTTATAAGGTAATTTTGTTATAATTTTTTAATTATACTTATTGTTTATTATCATTATTTGAAAAAATATTATACTAATTATTTTTAATTAATTTTTATGTTTGTAAAATTGAAAAGCGGGAGCATACGTCGAAATAGTTTTACGGTGCAGGTAATAATATAAAATTATATTATTTAAATTATTTACGTTGATGTGTAAAAAAATTGTGTTATATTTTCGTTCATATATAATTTATTTAATCATGTTTGTTTAAGTTATTTTTTTGCAGATATAATATTGCCGCACTTTTAAACTCAAAGAATGGCGCGACTTTCAGCTATTGTTTATTATAATGGTGAAATTTGAGAATATGAAAACGGCGTTGTTTTCGTATCAAATGAGCATGTTAAAATATCATTCAAGATAAACATAACTCTTGAGGAGCTGATAATGAAGATTTCGAGGAAGATTCATGTTGGAAGTAACAGAAGAATGTCGTCGTTGCAGTACAGATTTCCAACATCATTGTTGCCATTAACTTATACAGCGTTCGAACTTTCGAACAATGATGATGTTCAAATGATGGTTGAAGCTCAAAGTAATTATTCAGACGCCGCTATTGAGATGTATGCACATTTTGTTCAAGTGCGTGTTGTTCGGGGTCAATCTTTAAGCTCACACTATGGTCTGGCTGAACAAGTTGATCAAGTTGACAGCCCGACTACAGTAATATGTAATGATTTTAATGCCATAATGGGGAGACATTCATCCGCAACTCCTTACGATATGTACCGAGGTAGGTCCACGAACAATCTGTATGACAACTCCGCGTCCAGTTCAAGGGGAAGGCATTCATCTGCAAATTTCTTTGACCATATGGAGATGTCATCGACGCAACCATCTGTGCAGTTTCCATTTGACACGATGGCTTCAAGCTCCATGGGGAGGCATTCGACTGCGAGCTTTTTCGATCTCAATGTCGATATGCCTTCTAGTTCAAGGGGAAGGCGTGCAAATAGTAGGTTCTTCGACCTAAATGTGGAGAGCATGAAGGAACCATAATCTCCACCAGAAGAACCGCTTCGTGAGCCTGGTGCGGATGGTGCTGAGACTAGACTATTCATTCACCCAGAATCACCACAATTCAACTCCGATGATGATGAAGTTTCAGGAAATGTGGCACAAACTGACCATCCTGAACACATGTATGAAGCTGATTATGATGCAATGTATGGGCCAGAATTTGTGGATATGCCTCATCTTGGTGACTATGGATATTACTCATCAATAAATAACGGTGACCTATCTTTAGGCATGGAGTTTTCAAGCAAAGAATAAGCGATGATGGCTATCAAAAATTACAATATCCGTAATTCTGTTCAGTCCAGAGTCAATCGATCGATGACCGAAAAATATGTATACTACTGTGTCCGACGCGAAAACGGATGCAATTGGATGGTTCGCGTATCGAAAATGAAGAGGAAAAACAACATATGGGAACTAACATTATACAACGGTCCTCACACATGTTGTGCTGTAGGGGTCAACCAAGATCATCCCAACTTGGACTCTGAAGTGATATGCCAAGCCATCATTCCTATGGTAAAAGCAAGCTCTCATATAGATGTTGCAGTGTTGATTTCAGCTATACAATCGCAGTATGAGTACACCGTCTCCTATAAAAAAGCTTGGTTGGCAAAACAAAATGTCATTGTCAAACTTCATGGCGAATGGGATGCATCTTACAATGAACTTCCAGGTTGGTTTAGGCTGGTGCGGACGTTGAATCCTGGGACAATTGTGGACTTCGAAACCTCCTATGCATACCATAATGATCGAGTTCTTCGCGATCGATGTCAATTCTACCGGGTTTTTTGGAGTTACCCACAGTGCGTTAATGCTGCCAAATACTGTAAGCCTATGGTCCAGATCGACGGGACTTTCTTGTATGGAAAATACAAGCAAGTTTTATTATTGGCAGTTGTCCAAGATGGCAATCGCAACATTCTTCCAGTTGCTTTTGCTCTTGTCAAATGAGAAGATACAAATTATTGGGCTTTTTTCCTCCGAAATTTACGTGCACATGTTATCACGAGGGGAAAAAATATGTGTCATTTCAGATCACAGAGTTGGGATCAAAGCAACAATGGAGTCTTTGGGTCCAATGTGGCAACCACCCTTTGTCCAACATAGGTATTGTCTCCGACACATTGCTGCGAACTATCATGGAAGGTACAAGAATAATGATGAGCGTCAATTAATTGTGCGCATGGGTAAGTGAAAGCAAATTAGTAAGTTATACATTTTTTGATCATTTTAATTTTGCAAAGAAAACAAGTTAGTAAGTTATACATTTTTTGATCAGGCTACGAACTACTTCCTCAAACGTTTGAATCAATGCTTCAAGATTTGCGGGCGAAGAACGAGGAAGGATACGATTACATCAGCCTCATCGATAAATAAATGTGGACGAACGCATATGATGGTGGATATCGATATGGACACATGACGACCAACTTGGATGAGGCAATCAATTCAACCTTAAAGGGTGCACGTCACTTACCTGTAGCGGCTTTAGTAAAAACTACATATTTTTATTTTGGGGCGCTTTTTGCGAAGCTCGGGGGA